AAAAGGGGTAAATAAATGTATCACTAAAAAGATGACAATGAATAGTTATAAGTCTTCTCTATTTAATAAAAAAGTGCAATATTATAGTATGCTTAGATTTAAATCAATTAAACACACAATTTTCACACAAAAATTAAATAAGATAGGTTTATCATATAATGACACAAAGAGACATATTTTAGATAATAATATTGAAACATTAGCTTGGGGTCATTATAAACTGCGTTAAGTGTTGATAGTTTTTACTTTTATGTCTGCGTTTAAGAAAAATTTATATTGATTGTAAAATTATGATAATACTATAATATGACGTAGTTTATTACATATTTAAACATTGTTTTATTGTAAATAATTTAAGTTAATTGTTGTTTCTATTTATTTGAGGTTGAGTTAATTGTAAAATTATGATGTACTAATTGTTGTTTCTATTTATTTGAGGTTGAGTTAATTGTAAAATTATGATGTACTAATTGTGTTAGAAATAGTATACAGATAATTCTGTTTTATATAATTTTTGGAATATATATTAATTGTTTACACCAACACTTTCATTTTTTATTTCACCCCTTTGAACTTTAGACGTGTGTTATGTTTCACTTTATCCATCCGTTCACTGCTATTGTGGCAGGACCAAGTGGGTGTGGGAAGTCAAATTTTGTAACAAATTTCATAAAATCAGTTACAGAAATATGTAATTGTGATTTTAATCAGATCACATGGTGCTTTGATGAAATGCAACCATTATATAATTTACCAAATGTTAACTATCATCAAGGAATTCCAAATCTTAATATGTTTGATGGTGAAAACCCACATCTTGTTATTATTGATGATCTAATGAGAGAGTCCGATGGAAGAATTGTGGATATATTTACAAAAGGTAGTCATCACAGGAATCTTAGTGTATTTTATCTAACACAAAATTTATTTCATCAGGGTAAAGGACAAAGAGACATACCTTTAAACTCAAGTTATATAATATATTTTAAAAACCCTCGAGATAAAACTCAAATAAGATATTTAGCAAGACAAGTATCACCAGATAACCCAAAATTCATTGAAAATGCCTACAGGGATGCAACTCTAGAGGCACATGGATATTTAATGGTAGATTTAAAACAGAATACCAATGATTTTTGTCGTATCAAGACAAATGTCTTTCCATTTAATGGTTTCTGTACAGTCTACGTCCCCACAAAAGAGTTTAAATACACCAAGAATCAAACAATTGAAATCATTGCTAAATGATGCATCGTCGACTCACAACGTATAAACATTTGCTAACCGCTTTGCATACGCTTAAACCAAAATATCAAAGAGCATTACTTAAAACGTGTGATGAAGAAGAAATTAACTGTATTTGTGAGTGTATTCATAACGTTTTACAAGGAAAAGTACCTCTTAAAGATCAGGATAAACAAAAATTGAATAAACATAAAAACATACTCCGTAAACTAGTACGTAAGTGTAAACATAAACTAAGAAAAAATATAATTATACAAAAAGGAGGGGCTTTCTTACCAACAATATTAGGTGCAATATTGAGTGGATTAGTGAGTGGACTAGCCAGTTAACATGGAAAATGCAAAGAAAATGATACTTATCGAACCTGGATTGATTGAAAAATTAAAACAAGAAAATAAGGTTAATAGTAATTTATCTCGATTAGATATTGAAATGCAAAATATTATGAATAGTAAGACGGAAGACCGAAAGAAATGGATATTATATTTACAAACACTGCAAAGATACCTTCATTTTACCGAAGAGGATCGTCAACCACTCAAATTACCAATTTATTCTGATACATCTAATGAAGATTCAAATGAGTCAAAAATTGGTTTTAAAAATAAAGATAGAGATCTAAAAACTTCAGTTGATATTGAATCTTTGCTGGAGGAGAATCGATCCATTAAAAGTAAAGAAAATGATGAAAATCCACTGTACACACCAGCTCAAATACTCAGTTTAATACCAAAAACTTATCATAAAAAAGGGCAGTTATTATTAAACTTAGTTGAAACAAGTAAAAGTAAAATACATTGGGATAACGAAGGTACAGTCATAATTGATAGTGAAAAAATTCCTGGAAGTAATATTGTTGATTTAATAAATGATTCACTAAGACCCCTAAAAAGAAGTGATCCGGTAGGGTGGGTTAGATTTGCTGAAGCATTAAAAGATATTAAAGTACCACTTACTTATATTGGAAATCCAAGGAGATGTGAGTTTATTAACCAACTTCAAGCAAAAGATCTGAACAAACCCTCTGAGATTGAAGTTCAAGAGTTTTCTACACCGTGCAGTAGATATAAAAAGTCTACAACTAAAATACGTAAAGGACTTGAGTGGGAAAAATGGACTCCGTACTAGAAGAAGTTAACAGGATTTATTATGATCCATCTAATCCCGCTGGTTTTGGTAGTATTGATAAATTATCAAAAGCCATGAAGGGTAAAATGAATAAAAAGCAAGTAAAGGAATGGTTAAAATCACAAGAAACATACACATTACATAAACCCATTCGAAAAAAATTCCCGCGTAATAGGTACATTCTATCAAATATTAATGAACTGTGGCAAGCTGATTTAAGTGATATGCGAACTTATTCTCAATATAATGATGGTTTCAAGTATATACTTTGTATTATTGATGTATTTAGTAAATATGCTTTTGCAAGACCAATGAAAAAGAAAAACTCAGAAACAACTAAAAAATGTTTTGAAAGTATATTTACTGAAAGTAATTTAACACCTACTCACATACAATCCGATAAAGGTACAGAATTTGTTTCAAAAGATGTACAAAAATACTTTAAATCCAAAAAGATTAATTACTATACCACTAACAATCCTGACATTAAGGCCAGTATTGTTGAACGATTTCAAAGAACACTAAAAATGAAAATGTGGCGTTATTTCACTCATAATAATACTTATAGATATATAGATGTTTTACAAGATTTAATATACTCTTATAATCACAGCTTTCACTCTAGTATTAAGATGTGCCCATGTGATGTAAATTCCAACAATATTATGACAGTTTGGACTAATCTTTATGATAGACGGTCAAAAAAACTTTCTTTAGAAAATCCTAAACCAAATTTCAATGTGGGTGATTATGTAGAAATAACTAAATATAAACATGTATTCCAAAAAGGATATGAATCAAATTGGAGTGATGAAATATTTTTTTTTTTTTTTTTTTTTATAGGATCGGGTGACAAACGAGCACACAGTCCACCTGATGGTAAGTGGTCACTGTGACCCATAGACATCTATCCTCAATAAAGACTCAAGATGCAGATGCGTTGTCACCCGTGAGGACTAAGATGGAATGCCTCTTTGCCAGTAAAAAGGGTCTCCGGTTCTCTACACTCACCATACGAAACACAGCAGCGTTAAGCTGCTATTTTACGCCGGTTTTCTGTGAGAGCGTGGTCCTTCCCCGGTCGAGCCGACCCATTCGTGCTACAACCATAATATAGCTGCAGCATGGCTCTACCACGTATAATATTTATTATATCTTCAATAATTGATAGATCTCCATGGGTTGTTTATACAATAACAGATTTACAAAATGAACCAATAATTGGTACTTTTTATGAAAGAGAATTACAGAAAATCACTTACAACCCCACCTCACAACATAAAATAGATAAAATAATTGACACTCGTTATTCAGGTAACAGAAAAGAAGTATTAGTGAAGTGGAAAGGTTATCCAGATAAATTTAACAGTTGGATTTTAGCTTCTAGTTTAAAAGAAATATGAATAAAGAAAGTTTCTATTTAACTTTGCTCAGCAATAGTTCAATGGAATACTTTCCTGATAACAAGACCACAAATTTTTCAACGAAATTACCAAAAGCTATAAAATTAGAAGGTGAATGGTCGGTTGGAGTTGTCGAGTTTCAATATCCATGTACCATGTTTACTGTTCAAGACCATGAAAATGTTATATACATTACAAAATCTATGTTAATGCCTAATGAAGATAAGCCATCCACAGTGTACTACAAAAAACATATTCCAGCTACCAACTATGATAACGTTGAGCATATTTTAAGAGTGTTAAATGGTATCGGAGAGAACTTGAAATTTCGCTATGATGAAATAACAAAATTTGTGTCTATTTCGGTATTGGATAAAAATATAACATCCGTAACATTATCACCCAAATTAAGTTTACAGCTAGGTTATGAACCAAATAAAAATCTCCTAGAGAGAAATTTTGGAAAGTGTCCTGCTAATTTACACTTAGGGTTACCATCTCAACTATTTCTATATTGCGACATTATCGATCCTCAGATTGTGGGTGATGTTATGACTCCTTTATTAAGAGTCATTTCATTAGATCCTACAAAATACATTTATGGTGCAAATAAAATGCACGTTTTCTCTCAACCTCACTACTTACCTGTTATGCGAAGAGAGTTCGATACGTTGGAAATAGTTATAAGATCGAGTACAGGACAAAAAATACCATTCCAGTTTGGAACCGTGTGTATTAAACTACATTTCCGAAAATTATAATAATGAATTCTCTTCGTGATCATCATAAATGTCCATATGAAAATTATTATACACATCAAGCTGGATCAGGAGTTGGAGTAATTTATAAGGGTTCACCATATCAACGCGGTCATGGTATTGGGAGCTTCTTAGGGGGGTTATTCAGATCAGTTTTACCTTTACTTTCAAGTGGTGCTCGAGTGATTGGTAAGGAGGCATTAAGCGCTGGAGTAGGACTTTTATCGGATATGGTTCAAGCCCGTCCTATGGAAGCCTCAATAAAAGATCGTCTAAAGCAAGTTAGTACGAATTTAAAACGAAAGGCTGATGAGAAAATTGATCAATTTAACATGACTGGATCTGGGTATAAAACTAAAAGAAAACGATTGACATCGTTCATTCCACCATTAACTGCTAAAGTGAAAGCTGCGAAAAAACTTAGTCTAAAACCAAAAAATATCAAAGATATATTTTGAAACTAAATATGTCTTTCCTTCATAATCATTCTTGCGAGTGCGTTAAGTCAGAATTGGATTTGTTTGCACTACCGTCTACACAAACTAGCATTGAAAATGGATTGTGGATTCATTATAAACCAATTTCATCTCTTGGTGATGATGGACCTATCGAGTTTCAAGTTCCTGGGACCGGCGATGACTACATAGATTTGTCTCATACATTACTCCACATAAAGGCAAAAGTATTAAATCAAGATTCAACTAACTTGGTATCTACTACAATAGTAGCACCTGTAAATAATTGGCTGCATTCACTTTTTAGTCAACTTGATGTTTATTTAAACCAAAAACTTGTATCACCACCTAATAATACCTATGCATATCGAGCATACATGGAAACCCTTTTAAACTATGCCCCTGCTGCTAAACAATCTCATCTTACTTGTAGTCTTTGGTATGAGGATACAGCAGGAAAAATGGATTCTACAGATGGTAAAAACATAGGATTTGTTAAAAGACAGGAATTGATTAGTGAAAGTAAGGAAATAGAAATGATTGGTCATCTTCACGGTGACATTTTTAACCAAGATAAATTTTTAATTAATGGTGTTGAAATGAGTGTTAAATTGGTTCGATCAAGAGAGAGTTTTAATTTAATTGTTGGGTCGAACGATGTAAAGTTTAAAGTTTGCATTACGGACGCAACTCTTATTGTGCGACGAGCACGAATTAATCCAAGTGTATTACTCGCAGATCAAAAAGTTTTAGCTTCTACCACTGCTAAATATCCTATTACTCGAGCTGAAGTAAAAGTTTTAACAATTCCTTCAGGTGTTCAAGGAAAAACTCTTGATAATATATTTTTAGGACAGGTACCGAAAAGATGTATAATTGGATTTGTGAACAATTCTGCATTTAATGGTTCCCTTACTAAAAATCCATTTAACTTTGAAAACTATGGTATTAATTCTTTCAGCTTATATATTGATGGTCAACAAATACCTTCAAAAGCTTTGCAACCATCTTTTAATAATAGCATATTTACATCAGCATATCATACTCTATTCTCAGGAACTGGTATTCACTTTCTTAATGAAGGAAATGGAATCTCTTGTGAACAGTATGGCAAAGGTTACTGTCTATTAGCATTTGACTTAACTCCTGATTTATCAGCTAACTCATCAACTCATTGGAATCTCATAAAGCATGGTAGTGTAAGAATAGAAGTACGATTTGAATCCTCATTAATACAAACAATTAACTGTATAGTTTATGCTGAGTTTGATAATATTATTGAGATAGATAAAAACAGAAATGTTACTGTAGACTATAGTAGTTAAGGTTATAATATGTGTTGTGTGTTAGATTTTATGTGTTATGTGTAATGCATTTTGTGTGTATGTAACTATGTGAAACGTTATAAAATTAAATAAAACAAATTGTATGCAATATATTTTTTTTATTTCTTTATAAATCTTCTATTTAATCTAATACAAAACACTGTTCGAGTTGAAATTTTACATAAGCACACTGACTAAACCACTGAACATGCTGCTGCCAAGGATCATCATCATCTTCCCAATCTTTTAAACCACCACCACAATGGAAACACTTGGTCCCGTCTGCATGGCCAGTATAAAAGAAACCAGCTTCGGCAAGATCTTCAGGTTTCTGTCGCATAACTAGAGGCCAGTTTTCGAAACTAAGCAAACGGCTAGATTTTGAACTGAAGAATGGATATTCAGCTCTTGAGTACTGCATACTCTTCTCGTTTTCTTCTCCACTCAGTGTTGTAGTTTTGTTATTCAATGATGTGTTTTGTACACGTATGCCACACTCATCTCTTCCTTCCGCTCTTGTCTTCCTGTAATTGAAGTAAACAGAATCACATTCACTAATGATCAGCTAATGACTGTCATTGTTAAAAAAGTATTTTTTAACTTTTTCACTTTCTGCTATTGTCTTTGTTATATTGTATACGAGGGCGTTTGTATTGTCGTAGATGCTATCCTTATTAGTCTTTACGTAATATTTAATTCTCGTGGAAGCATGTTTCCAATGATCAGTAGTTGGAATCTTGGATAGCTTCTTCATATCGTACATTTCAATTTTGATGAGATGCGTCGCTTGGTCTCCGTCGTCAGAATTAGTAGAAATGTATGATACACCATCTCTAGCGGCTCGTGCTACGGTTGATGATAACAGCTTCCTCTTTTTTATTTTTGATTCAGCTTCAAAAAAATGATCAATCGATTGCGATTTTCTTTTTCCACCATCGCATGTGTTATTATTAATGACGAGGTTATCACTCTCTTCTTGAGGGGAGAGTGGCGAGTAGTAATACTGTTTATAGGTATCTTCATCGAAGCTCAATGATTTCTGCAACAACACAGTTATCATGTTAATATCAATTTGTTAACACTTAATCATAAAAGTTAAAAAAGTTAAAGTTACAGCCTATTAAAGTCCACTGCTGAACATAGGCCTCCTCTCATTTCTGAGAGGGTTTTAGAGCAAGGAAATGTCCGCCGCGCTCTCTCAATGTGTGTTAGCGAACTTCACATGCCTTCGAAATTTTCTCAGACATGCAGGTTTCCTCACGATGTTTTCCTTCACCACCAAGCACGTGGTAATAAGCACTTAAAATTGCTATTAACAATTTAATTGGTGCTGGCGGGGATCGAACCCGGGTCGCGTACTGTGAAATTTACAGCTAGCGCTAACCATCTGAGTTACCACGGCTTAATCATATACATACACAATATTTAAATAAAATAATACACACACATGAAAATAACAGAAAAAAAGTAATTTAGACAATAGAATAAACACTTACATCCATAGCCTTTGGTGTATTGAAGTAACACAAATGTACTATTGATAGATCCACTGTAGCCAAACGACCGTACACTAACTCGATGACTGCGTTTGTTGGTCTTATATACCACCAGTACGTAAAAATTCTAATCTAAAGTATTTCCGTAATGAGTTGATAATTACTTTATGCGTCAACCAGTTTATCTCACATTTCCGTTGCCTATCTCAACATTTCTTCGTATTGTGTTTTGTTTGGTGATCAATGACTCAAGTACGATTTGTATAACACAAAAATGCAATTTAATATTTAGAAACATATCAGTTTATCTCACATTTCCGTTGCCTATTTCAACATTTCTTCGTATTGTGTTTTGTTTGGTGATCAATGACTCAAGTACGATTTGTATATCACAAAAATGCAATTTAATATGTAGAAATCACTATAATTGACCATTCCTATGTTATTCATTGAGTAGCTAGGTACTGTAATAATCTACTAATAGCAGTAATATCATGGATACACTAGATGTACAACAACATCTGAAAAAGATTCACCCCAGTCTAGAAAATAATGTTTATGCAGCTAATAGACTGCCTATGTATACCCACGTACCAACGTATATAATATGTAATTTGGATACAGATGATAAACCAGGGTCACATTGGGTAGCTTTATATATCGATACGAATGACGTCGGTCAATATTTTGATTCATATGGACGATCACCTGTACGATATCATCTAGAGTTTTTAAAAAGGAATTGTAAAAGATGGAACTGGAATGTTGATAGGATTCAGAATGAGTGGACTTCAGTTTGTGGCGAATATTGCTTAATGTATTTGCTATACAAGTTTCAAGGATGTTCAATACATAGTTTTACGAGTATATTTACAAGGAACACATTGTACAACGATATTTTAGTGGATGAGATGTTTCGCTCCTATTTTATAGATAATAATTAATAAGATTTTGTATTTTATAAATAAAAATTGTAACAAAATTATGTAATGTGTTTTATTGATGATTCAGATTAGCGTTGTATAATTAGGAACAAAGAACTATAACACAATAGCACTGGTATAGTCAACGCACACGCTGCAATGAAGGTGATTAATGAACAATAGAACAATAGAAATAGGAACAACAATGGGACGCTAATGACGGTGGAGGCCCTTACCGGATATCAATTAGATATTAGCTAATTGATCTACACATCTCTGGAACCGTGCATTCTACACAAAAATGGACCGCGGATTCGTGATCAGAGCATGCCAAAACCTTTTTTTTTTTTTTTTTTTTTTTAGGATCGGGCGTCGATGAACGTCGTTGAACCACGTCTGACTCAGGTGGTCTAGAAGTGGTACAACTACACTACTCACAGCCGACCTGATGGTAAGTTGTTGCTGTGGCCCATAGACATCTACATCTATCTTCGTTTGCGAATCAAAATGCAGATGCGTTGTCAGCCGTGAGGACTAAGATAGAATGCTTCTTTTCCAGTAAAAAGGGTCTCCGGTTCTCTACACTCACCATACGAAACACAGCTGCATTAAGCTGCTATTTTACGCTGGTATTCTGTGAGGGCGTGGTCCTTCCCCGGTCGAGCCGACCCATTCGTGCTACAACTATACTACTAATATAGCCGTAGCATGACTCTACCACGTATAAAACATATAGATTATGTAATTATCGGCTGAGGCGAATTCTATCTTAGTCCTCATACGTCATAATGCATGAATTCCTAGGGCATCGGTGTTTGGTCTCGTCGTCGGCTTTAATAATATGTCTTTTTACGTTTTTATCCTTTACTACTGATCCGCCCCGGCTTCGCACGGGTGATTTCTGGATCTCGACATCAGCGCCATCTACTGGGTACAATTATGAATCTAAACAATTTTTTTATAGAATAAGGGTAACAAACGAGCACACAGTCCAGCTGATGGTAAGTGGATGCGGTGGCCCATAGACCGTTGTCACCCCTGAGAACTAAGATGGAATACCTCGTTTCCCGTAAAACGAATCTCTAGTTCTCTACGCTCAACATACGAAACAGAAACACAATAGTATTAAGCCGGTATTCTGTGAGAGCGTGGTCCCTCCCCGGTCGAGCCGACCCATTCGTGCTACAACCATAATATAGCTGCAGCTTGGCTCTACCACGCAAAACCATCTAGACACTCACGCAAACGCACACAAAAAATTTCACCAAAATCGCTCGAGCGAGCGAGACTAACGAACAGCAATAGATTTTATATATAGAGACTAGCTGACTCGGTAAACGTTGTTTTGCCATATACATTATTTCTACTTATACTTATCTTCACGCACAATCCCTGACGGGGTAGCCAGAGAGAACAGAACGCCAAGTGTCACGATGCTTACAAACCTCTTTCGCTTCTTTCAGATTCATTATCTTCTTCATGCATGCACGTCTAGGTATCCGAGTACTCTTGACTCTACCCTCTTCGAGCAATTTGCTCACATGGTCTTCGAAAGTTAGTCTCGGTCTACCTCGACACCTTTTAATATTAACTTTCGCGCTATATATTTTCTTCACCATTCGGTCTTCACTCATTCGCTCAACGTGCCCAAACCACCGAAGCACGCCCTTATCAATTTTGTGATAAGGTCATCTTTCAAACCTGCCATATTGCGAATCTCTTCGTTTCGCTTTCGGTCGGCCATAGTAACGCCGCACATTTTACGAAGAGATCGCATCTCCACTGCATTCAACTTACTTTTATGCTTCTTCTGGCATACCCAGGTTTCGCTGCCATATAACAAAGTCGGTACCAACACTGCGTTATGTATTGCAAGGCGTGCACTCTTCGCTACGCCTTGCCTTTTGACTAACGCAGTCAGGGCACCATTGACTTTGATCCCGGCAGCGACACACCTGTCCACATCTAAATCACATCTTCCATCCCGGCTAAAAGCACTCCCCAAGTATACAATTTCATTTACCTGTTCTAGACATTCCTGATTTACCCATATTTCACACTTCGTTCTCTCTTCGTCCCTTTCAAATACCAGAACCTTAGTTTTATTAGCATTCAAACGGAGACCTTTAATTTCACATTCCTCTTTCATACACGTGACTAATGCCTGCAGTTCTGCCTCTGATGGTGCAATAAGCACTGCATCATCAGCATACAGCAGACAATTTACTTTTATGTCACCCAATTTCACACCCAAACAGCTATCTTTCAGCTTCTGTAAACAGCTGTCGAGATACAGTATGAAAAGCCAGGAAGACATGAGACAACCCTGCTTTACGCCCGTTTGGACGCTAAACATGGGTGACAGGTCATGCCCTACCCGCACACAGGCTTTACAGTCACAGTAAAGAGACTGCACAGCCCTTAGCAATCGACCATCCACACCATACCCCGGCAACAGTTCCCACATTTTCTTCTTTACAACCTTATCAAATGCTTTCTCAAGATCCACAAAAGCACAGAAAATCTTCTGGTTAGCAGCCAGAAGCTTTTCCGTGATCATGCGGAGAGAAAACATTTGATC